GGTACGACTTGCTTCACATGGTATATGGCATCTGCTGCTCTTGACCACATCCTTATGGTAAGTGCAATTGTAGGGTACTTACAATACTCAATTGATGATGTGAAATGAAGTAGCAACTCCTCAGTGAGAACAGTTTTGCCAGGGAATAAGAATATATGGCTGGGGTTCTGACTGTCATGGCCAACTTGATTTAAGAGAAATGAAAAGTTCTTATTTCTGATTGTACTGAGAAGGATTGATTTATTTTAGAGACAGAATTTCTGTTATATAGTCAAGGATGACTTTGAACTCCTTGTCCTCTTGCCTCTACTTAACAGGTGTGTGCTACCTGGCCTTTTGTTTCTGTGAGACAGGGTTTCACACTGTAGCCTAGGCTGGCCTCAAACTCATGGTACTCCTTTTGCCTTCGTCTACTAGAATCATAGGCATGAACCACCAAGGTCAGCTAAATTCTATGTCTGTATAGTTCTTTAAGCATTTGTGCTCTCTATTAGGCATTGAATGGGATCAAAGTTGATCTATGCTCCACCATATTCCCTACCTTCTCATACTGCTCTACATTCCTATGTGGCAGGGTGTATCTGTTGTCACTCTAAGATCTTACTTCCAAAGAATGTGTCCATATAAGCTCTACAAACAGGCATAGTTTCTTTCTGCCCTTCACCACTTCCCTGGAACCCAAAACATCACGACACACAATGGGTGCAAAGCGCGCTTGCCGAATGAGTGTGATTAATGAATAAGTGCTGGGCAACATCTCTTTTACATCATCTGGAAAGAATGAGCATTTTATAGTGTGGAATAAAGATGCTGCACATGTTTGGAAAATTGCCTAAGATGGCAGGACTGACATTGTTATATGGAAATTGAAGAAGTGAATGAAATGTTCCTAAGTGGCTCTCCAGCTTCTATTCTAAGGAGGCTGTAGGACCATTGTTTTAGGATTGTTTATTATGCAGGGAAACTATAGTAAAGAGACAAGGTAATATAGTATCAAGTACCATTACTATGCCAGTATCCTTTTGGGTCACTTTTGGTACATCCTTCCTCAAGTTTTATATCATGCCAGAAGCCAGAACTTATAAGGCTGTCTATATCAACAATTCTCAGTATCGACACCATAAACATTTGGGACTGAAACATCCCTTAAGGTGCACTGTGCAATGTTTAGCAGCATCCCTAAACTTCATTCATTAGATACTAATAGCAGGTCCCCAGCTGTGACCACCGGGCATCTTTCCAGATATTGATGATGTGTTCTGTGGGTAAATAGTTCCCAAAGAATCACTGCTCAGTGAGCTGTTGAGTGGGTGGGTAACCAAATGTACGTATTACTGAACATTGCTTTAACCTGGAACTCTTCAATGTAAGCCCCTGAGAAAGATTCATTAATATACAAATAGAATATTTGACTTCAAGCTGTTGAGGAAAATTGATATTCTATTCTGAGTTTGAAAGTTAATCTCTGAATGACACTTTTCATATTACTTCAAAACTACTTGTGCATGAACAATATTTTGACAGGGGAGCTTCTTTCAATGGATTAGGTGAGCTACTAACTTCAAAGACATCCTATGTCTTTTAGGCTGGCAGCATTAATTGGACCCAGATTAGTGAAATTATGGGGTACACATTAACGTTCTCAAGGATATTTTATGGCTTTAAATGATTATAAAAGTTTTCCATATAAATACACTAACATAGTTTTTTCTATTATGAAAATGCACAGTTTCTTACAAGTCTACAGTCTCGAAACTATCAAACAAACTCCTTTATTGGTCGAGTTTGTTCTTTGGTAATTGTACTCATGTATATAATGCTGTCTCATCACCCTTCCCCCTTTAGTCCTTCTCATCACTATCAATGCTCTTTCTTACAATGCTTTTTCAGATGTGTGACTTTGCTTTGGTTTTGTAATCTACTTGGTTTAACCAGGGCCATGTGTGTGGCCATTGGATTGGAACCTGATGGGGTCAGTGTACAACTGAAAGCATCTCCATGAGTCTGTCAAGAACAAGTGTTTAGCACCAAGGGTGTGGCTCCCTGAGCTCCTTCTCCATCCAAACTAAACCTTTTGACATTGCAGGGAAGTTCGCTGTTCTTGCATGAACTTGAACTTTATGGGTATGTGCTGCAGAAGATGCAAACGTTTAACAAAAAACGTTTCATATTCATGGGTATTTGAACATCTGTTAATTTCTTTCCTCACTCATCAAACAAAATTAAAACCCATTCAGTGTTTTGCTTTGTCAAAAAGCAATGGGTTTAGCAGTTTCTTATCACTTCTTTCAGTGTTCCTGCTTAAAGCGAAGCAAAATAAAGCATGTGTCTCTATTGTAGCTTTAAGTACAAATAGAAGCCAGCTCAATAATATTTGATATTATTTATATCAGATTTTAATAATTTGTTTACAATCAACATGTTTTTCATGGTACTCACTAGGTAAGTTAAGTGCAAAATGCATCTCTCAGCTAACTGAGGCAAATTATTTGTAATATAGAACATCTGGATACAAACCAAGCAAAATAGACAACAGCTGCCTATACCAATGGCATATTGCAATTTACCGCCACAGGAGGCCTTTCTGTGTTGGGTGTGTGCACAGTATCTATTATATATTTCAAAGGTGGTTATGAATTTCCCTTTGCACAAAGGCCTGCAGACACAACTCTTGCAAATATTGAATGTGTCTTCTCTTTTGCATTTGAACAAAGAAAAGATTTTTCTCACAATGTAGTTCTAGAGAGAGGAGTTTCTTATTTAAGAATCTCTATTGCTAACAGTCCTCATGTAGCTTCAGCCAGTCACAGTATCTCTGCAAACACAACCAAGAGGAAAGCCAGCATCATGGGAAGCCACATGAGCCCAGCAACTCTTGCTAGAGTGCAGAGGGATAGGGGAGGACTGGTCAGCAGGATGAGCTCTGGGAGGTGCTAGATACCCGTGCAGGGAATACAGCTTTCACTGAAGAGAGCCTGCTGCTTTGATTTTTAGCTGTTCTGTGTCTAAGGAAGACCAGGTCCTTGAACTAAATAAAGGAGAGTTGGTTGTGAAGATCAAACGGGAACTCATCCTGTTCCTGTAGAGGAAAGAAACTGCATACACACTGGCAGTTTGATAATTTTCAAGGTTGTATTTTATTTTATATTTTTGGTCTGGCCCTTGTTTGGTTGGTAAGTTGAAGTGTATTGCTGTTCCTTGATTCAGCCACTTGTGAAGGACACCCTTTTATGATGTAAAACATGATCTCATGTGCAAGGGATAGGCTTTCTTAGAAAGTGAGTCTGATGCGGGCAGGAGGGCAGGAATGGAAGATGCTACAAGTATAATTATGAATGGAACAAAAGCCAAATGAAAGCCATTTTGCAGAATGACTTTAGTCAGTGTTCCAGGAACATAATGATGAGTCAATGCTAGGAAATCTAGATGTTCAATTTATATAATAACAAAACACAAATGAGAGCAATAATAATTTATACAGAACCTAAAATAGCATTGATACAATTCAACAGCCATTACAGCATCCCACTTTGGGGTAAATTCTGAAAACATCTTTGAGATAAAAATAAAACAGCTGCTGATATGACTGAATTACAGAGAAGGGTTGACATTGTTATTTGCAATCGATACAATTTTTGTTCTGTTTTTTTTTATTGTTCAGAAAGTCTTGAGATTCAAACTGCCCCATGGTGAAAGGTCAGTATGATGACTGGTAACAAAATCCTAGCATTTTATGTCAGGAATGATCACTAGAGAGAATAATGGCACCAGGAGAATGGAATGAGGAAGCTCTTTTGTCACCTACCAAGAAATTTAAATGTATAGAAGTACTATCAAGAAACGTACAATGGTTAAACTGGATTGAGAGACAGTATAATAAAGAGAAGCATGGGCAACTCTGTCTTCTTGCAGGAGGAAGGAAGGTATGGGTTGTGCTGATAGGGCGCTAGATGGAGGTCCTGAAAAATCTCTTTAGTGGCTGTCTTAGTTAGGGTTTCTATTCCTGCAACATGACACCATGACCATAAAGCAAGCTGGGGAGGAAAGGGTTTATTGGCTTACACTTCATCATTGCTGTTTATCACTGAAGGAAGTCAGGACAGGAACTCACACAGGGCAAGATCCTGGAGGCAGGAGCTGATGCAGATGCCATGGAGGGATGCTGCTTACCTGCTTGCTTCCCATGGTTTGTTCAGCCTGATTTCTTATAGAACCCAGCACTAGCAGCCCAGGATGACACCACCCACGGTGTCTGAAGTGCATGGTGTTTTTATCAATAGGGACTTAGGAAAGTCTAGGTTTATATGGGCTTTTCAGCTACTTCAAAAATAAAGATTCAAGTCAGAGTCATTTCTTTGAGTCCTATGTTTGAGTTGTAGTACTGTATTGGGGTCACATGACTGTAATGAATGAAATGAAATGCTTCTTGAATCAGATTCTTCATATTTTCCCTTGTTCCCAGGGACTCTTTGAGATCAATTTATAAAGTGATTCAATGAGTCTGCTTGGTGCACTGGAAAGATGGGCCAAGTAGGCCATTTGGTAGCATTTGGGTTGTAAGCATCATCCATGCAGAGGATTTGAGCTGCTTGGCATAGTATCTAAGTTGGATGGCTAAAGCATGGTGTACTGTGGCAAAGCTGTCATTCCCATGGGTTAGCAAAACTTCATTTTTAGTTTAAAACAAGTTGTTCTTTCTATTTCTGTTTTGGGAAGGTTGAAAGTGGTTGGGATAAATACGAATAAGCTATAAAAACAAATGCCTAAAATTAAACCGCAAAAAAAAAAAAAAAAAAAAAAAAAAAAAAAAAAAAAGCCACGTACTATTTTTCACATAGCACAATTTAACCAGATTATGACGTAAAGTTGGGTCATTAAATCACTCAGCACTGATATCTTTATGAAAGGACACAGGACTTTTGAGCCTTCAGTTTCACCCAAAACACGTGTTTTATGGAGTATTGTGTTCAGGTATCACACACTCTCTTTTTGTGTCTCAGGCAATGTTCTCCTGCACCTGCGAGGATCAGTACATTGGCACATTCTGTGAAGAATTTGATGCCTGCCAGAGGACACCCTGCCAGAACGAGGCGAGCTGTATTGATGCAAATGAGAAGCAGGATGGGAGCAATTTCACTTGCCTTTGCCTTCCTGGTAAGGTTTGCTCAGCCAGTAGCCAACGAATGTCTCTCTGGAGAACAAGCTGGAGAATGTATGCACATCAATTATGGTTGGGCAAACGATGCTTTGTTCAGCTGCTGGGCAGAAGGATCTCATTTGAACTCATCAGTCTGCATAGACTTAAGGACTGGAAGAAGGAAGTACACAAGGGGCCAGATACACCTTGGCTTGCTCTCAGGTGTTAGAATGCAGCCCATCATTGTTCAGGAAAAAGATATTCTTAGTCAAGTATCAGACCATGTTTTAGAAAACAATTGTATGAGTATGTCTTGAAATGGGTAGTGTTCCTCTAGGTGATTACGTTAAGTCGCTCAAGAAAAATCTGGGATGAGCCACAGAAGTTGTATGTACAGGCCACCCAGCCTCCTCTTTACGATCGCTTCCGTTTGTTTTTGTGTGGCCCTCAGCCTGAGTTCCCAGTAAGCTGTTCTCCATCTCAGGGCAAGTCTTGATCAATATGGGGTATTCTTGAATGGAACATGGGACTGGAAATTCTCTAAGCTTTTGAGCATCTTGATATGTCTATGAAATAGTGAGAGGACTTTAAATTTTTCTCTTGCCATGTGAACAACTCCAATCACTTTGCTCCTGTGCATCTCATCCTGTTGCCAGTTTCTGCTACTGTGTGGGATCTTGGGAGTGAGGTAGGTGTTGGAAGTGGAGAGTGGGGATGGAGAAATGGGAATCATAGAGGTTAGATACTCATTGTATGAAACACAGCCCAACAGTGTAGAGATTTATAAACTGGAAATGAGAGTTCTTACTTATTCTAGCCCAAACTTAATCAAATCCTTTTATTCTTTGAGAATTTCATATATGCATATAATGAAATAGGATTGTATCCATCTCCCATTTGCCCCCTCCACCTGCCCGGGCATCTCCCTCACATGCTCCCCTCTCAACTTTATATCCTTCTATGATCCTTAAAAACTAGTTCACTAAATCCAGTTCATCGGTGTCCTTAGTTCCTCGAGTCCGTGTTGGTAGAAGAAAGAGTGACCCTGGTAGCAGCAGGGGATCAGCATCTGATGAACTGAATCCCTGGCAGCTTCACGGAAGCCTTTTTGCCGTTGCACAAAAGGCACTGTCAGCACGTCAATTTCTGCATACCCAAACCTCTTATCTGATCTAGGAGGTGTCTGAAGGAACCATCACCTAAGCAGTTCTCAGACTTCCTGGCTTGCCAGGTGTGTCTGGGGACTAAGTTATACAAAGGCTGTGAATCTGTAAACCTCAGATGACAATCACTGACTGCACAAAAGGTTACTCCAAAGCCCAGGTGCCATCACTCCTAATTCATGGCAGATACAATGGCTCTGCGGAATCTCTCACTACTCCAGTTAGTGCCGCCCACATCTCCACATCTCCCCATGTACGGGACCATCACAGGAGCAGGGACCTACCAGTGGCCAAACCCTCAATAAAAAGAATGGTTCTGTCTCCCCAGCCCCTATCTCCTGCCATCAGCTCCATCAGTCAGGGGTGAGACCTCGCCCATCTGTGTTAGAATTCTGGCTCGCTTGGTTTTATGCAGGTCTTGTGCAGTCAGGCAGTTATGGTTTATGAAATTTTTTTTTGATTCATGGGTAATCTAGAGATTATTGATATAGTGGATTAGAATTTGGGTTGATTCAATAACAAACTCTTGTGTCCTTTGATTTTCATTTTGGATTTTAAAAGCAATAGCTTGTAGGCAGGACCTTTCTAGTTGTTGAGACTGAAATCATGGGTTTCAGAAAAGCCATGTACATGTCTGAACATCATACTGTGAGTTCTATATTGTTGTTACAATTTGTATTATAAGGAAAATGTTATCATCAAGTGTGGTAGGTATTTCTCTTGAAACTGGCAATACTTTAGAAAGAAGATTATCAAAGACATCAAATATTGCAGGAGAATTTAACAGGCGGTACTGAATTTGTAATAAATTAAATCAGGCTTTGTGTAAATTCTTGGTAATCTCCTCATGCGGGCCTTCTGATTTGAACTGATAAAATTAGTTCTTTTTGGGTCTTGAACCTGCCTGGGTTTGATGAAGGAACACATACAACTCTCTCCATCATGTCAAACTCTGTGCTTTGGTAACACACAGGAAATATATGACTAAAATGAAATTTAACTGTTTAAACCAGGATTATTTTATTAAAGCCTTTTAACATCAAGAATATAATTTTTAATCAAAGGAGCCATCTCTTTTTTTTTTTCTGGAAAGAATAGCTGTGATACAAATTCACAACTGCCACTGCCAAAATATTATTAGTATTTTGCAAAGGATTTCCACAATGCCTCCAAGCATCACATGGTTCTGACTAATCAGTGATTTTAGACTATCTTTAAGAACTCACTGTTGCTGAGGCAAGTGTCCATCTACTGTTACCTTGGAAATATTGATGGGTAGAGGGTCAGTGCCTATTAAGTTGGTCCCTCTATCTGGGAACAAATTCCAGCATCTACTGTGAGTCCTTATTCACAATCCAAGTGTGTGAGGGACCTTAGTGCTGTGCTTAAAGATGGGCTGCTTCAGGGTTTTGGGCCAGAGGGCATTCAGATCCTTCCTCTATTTGTGTGAAGTCTGGAAGCTGAAGGACACATTCAAGGTCACAAGGCCTATGGGAGAAACAGACACAACTCCATCACTCTGTGCCCATTGGGGAGCCAGGAGCATCTCTCTGCACACTAGTGGCTCCTCTGTTTTTCATTCACCCTGTGTATAGTAAGAGGTATGGGTGGTTCTGGTCAGTATGAATGCATCACCCAAGTAGAATTGTCTCTTCTCAGGACCAGAGATGGCACCAGCTAGAACTAAGGGGGCAGGATGACAAAAACCAAAATTATGTGCTCACAGGGGGTTTCAAGCTGGCATTACTTAATTCTCTAATGTGACCCCCCCTAAAGCCCTGGCAGGTTTCCTCATATTTAAAATAAAGAATGATGCAAAGATCATTCATTCAGCCAACATTTTATCAAATGCTGCATGTTTTTGGGTTCTGTGGATACAACTGCTCAAGTCTTTGTGCACACAGAGGTCACAGTTTAGGGGTAGAGATAGCTAAACCACACACACACACACACACACACACACACACACACACACACACACACGCGCGTGTGTGTACAATGGTGACTGTATATGTGCATATATGTATGTTTGTGTATATGTGCATATGTATGTGTCAACTGAAAGAAATAGGGTGTGGTGCGGCCAGTGAAGAAGTAAAGCAAAGAGACAGAGAGCAGGATCATCAGGGAATGTCTTGTGCCAAGAAGATGGTATTAGAAGGTGAACCTCAGAAGTGATTGGTCACAGGTAAGACACACTTACAAATGGAGTTGCTAGCCTTATAAAAGGGGCCCCTGTCTTCTTTCTGTCATGTAAGAACATGTGGAAAGCATCATTTATGAGGAACAGAACCTGATTAGACAAAGAATCTTCTAGAACTTTGATTTTGGACTACTTAGCCTCTAGCTCTACCAGCACTACATTGTTGGTGTTTACTGGTCCCTAGTGTAGGCACTTTTGCTCCAGCAGCCTGAGAGGACGAAAATAACACAAAGGGTTCCTAAGTAGGAACTTCCTGAGGTGGGAACTTGCATGGAGCATAAATGAAGAGCATAAGAGAGTCAGAGATGAATATGGATCTCACACAGAAGCTGCACTAGCTCACAGGGATGAGCAAGGATCTTATCCCAAAGATGATGCGAGCCTTTGATGGCCAAAGGCACTGGGCCATGTGATGCCCCTCTTGGAAACATCACTGTGGAACTGGGGGAAGAATGAGCACCAGAAAGCACACCGAGAAGATGGCCAGGAGACTACTAGCCATCCAGGAAGCATGTGAACACAGCCGGCCACTTTGTCGAAGTGGGAGAGGTTGTGACTGGGCATGTATTTGAGGGCAGAGCTGATGATACCTGCTGGCAAGTTGGATAGGAAGTATGATTGCAGTGAGAAATTGTAGATGCCTTCATTTTTTTAAAAAAATAACAGCTCATTGAGATATCATCCATATACTATTGAAATATATAATTCAGTGTTTTTTTTTGTATATTCAGGGTTGGATAATTACCATTACAATAAATTTTAGGACATTTCATCCCCTCGGAATATGCATTCATCACCTGATCCTACTCCTTTCCTACCCTCCAGCCCTAGGCAACTTTCTGCCCCATAGATTTGCCTACTGTAGACATTTCATATAAATTCAGTTATATGATAGGTAATGTGTATATAAGCAGCTTTCCCTTGGCTCTTTCATGGAATGATGTAGGTGGGTACTGCTTTCTTCAGAATGCCCGAGTCACTCTCCCTTGAGTAGACAGACATACCATGCGTTGGTCATCCACTCATGTCCTCACGGCTGCAGGCCACTGTGGAAAAAAATACTGCTGTGTTCTTCCCAGGTCTTGCGGCACCATCTCACCTTCCATTTTTGTTTCTTTTCCTCTTTTCTACTGTATTCCATGTCCCTCTCCATCTGTCCCGCTTCTTATCTGCTAGGGTCCCGGTTCCCCGTCTGGAACCTGCCTCTTCACACCGTTAAGAATGCAGCAGATCATCCCTGCTTCTCTGTGTTCAGACTCTCTCCTCCCTTTCTTCCTCCACCTGTTTCTTCCTTCCCTCTCTCTTGATCTTTGATTCTCAGTCTTCCTCCTCTCTTTCTTTGTCACTGGTACACATCGATGTGTTTGACTGACTCCTTGAAAGAAATCACCTGCTTGCTCACGTAGCAGCATGGAGCCGCGTCTCCAAGGTCAGCAGCCATCAGTGGCATCGCCCTTCCTGTCCTCACTCTGCCCACAGCGCTCATCGCTTTTGACGCATTCCTTGTGTGGTTTGCAGAGCCATTCTGTGTCTATTCTCCTGAGTTTTCACAAGATCTTACCCCCTGTCTCTTTTCTAGGCATTCCCCTGGGCCTTTGATAGCAATTTCTCGTTCTGAGCTGTCACCACAAGGATGGCTTCCAGACTCTCC